AAGCAGAAAATAGTTGAAATTAACACGAAAATATGAAATTATCTATAAAAAGGTCTCAAATTAGCAGCAAAATTTAAACAGTTCCCAAAAATGGTAAAAGTTGAAAGGAGCATACAGAGCTTAAACAAGAAGATGGAAGCTGAAATTAGACATAAATTAGCAGAAAGAAGCTGAGAGGAGCTGAAATTAGCTCAAACAAGCTGTGAAAATCAGAGCAACAACCAACATGTAAACTAAACGGCACAAAGGGTTTGAAGGATTCTCCAGGAAACTAATAATTACCAATGAGTGGGAAAAAGTGGCTGAAAAAGCTAAATATTTCGAAAAGGGAAAATTGCACAAATATGAAAAGTCATAATGTGCTGAATGAGAAGACAATTTGATTTAGGAATTGTTGAAAAAGCACAAAAAACACATAAAAAGTTGTGTGCTTATAACATACGAAAGACAGTAAATCTCAAAGACAAAGAAAAATAATGAAGTTTATATCAGGCCGGGTTGTCTATAAATCATCTGGACTTTACAATCAGCGGTTCCCAAAGTTGGGATAGGGACCCACAGTGGGGTCTCAGGTGGAGTCCTGTAAATATTTTCTGAATTAATTTAATTAATTACATTTTAAAATGACAGTATTTTTGTCTTGGTTGTTATCAAATAGTCATATTAGTGTGCTTAATATAAAAGTTGATAAAAGTAGCATAATGAATAGTTATATTTGACCTGATACAAAATGGGCACAGACCTGCTTCCCCTGGTCAAGATGAATAATCTCGATTTGATTTAATAGTCAGGTTTATGAAAAGTTGTTTATTTCGTTGTTTGTTCAGACAGAATGTGAGTTTGTCCCTGAACGCATCTGGGACGGTCCCGTACCTGAAGTCGCTGTACGGGTGGATGATCCAGTTCCCCGCGGACTTGACGCGCTCCTGCTCCTTCTCCACCGCCTTCTGGCTGCCGAACATCCGCAGGGAGAACTTGTTAACTCCCGGCTGCAGCATGGAGCTGAACTGCCGCTGCATGTAGGTCTGGTTCCCCCTGGGGTCCTCATCGTCCGGGACGATCTGAGAGCCGTCCTCCGCTTTGCTGAAAGTCACCGAGTTTCTGGACTGGGGACCCGACAGCTGGCCCTTGGCTGCCGGGGCGTTGGAGAAGGAAACTCTGGAGTCCTTCTTCTCCATGGCTGCGCCGGGCTTCACTTCGCTCCCGGACCCCTGAGTCAGGGACCCCGGCGATCGGACAGGGGTGTCCCCGCCGCCCGCAGCCGCGGCTCCATCCGCCTGCTTCTCCTGCCTGGAGATGAGGGAAGACAGGCTCCCGGAGCTGGTCGGGTCCCTCCTGCAGTCTCCGTTCTTGTTGCAGATCATTCCGCCGGGTCCCTGCGAAGCTGTGCCCCCTCTGCTCCGGTGGTCCGACTCCGCTGCCGCATCCCTCGGGCTCAACAGAGGCGCGCAGCCCTCGCCCGGAAACAGCCGGAGCTCGCTGGTGTAGTTTTTGCGCACAGTGGACGCGGCTCCGCCTCCGAGCGTAAAAAAGCCCTTCATCCTGATGCCCCTGCCGCTCCCATCAACATCATCCTCATCCTCACTCCAGGGGTCTTCGCATCTGGTCCAGCTGGCTGCTGGGGGAGGCTGCAGGAATTTGGGCTCCTCCTCGCCGTCCTCAGCCTCATCCATCGTACTTTCCAGCGCCTGAGAGTTCAGCGCGGGAACAGCCCTTTACCTTCCCTCCTCATCACTTCAGGTGCGGCGGAGCGCRGGTTGCCATGGCTGCAAAGGAGGCTGGTGTGTGTGTGTGTGTGTGAAAGGGAGAGAGGACACAGCATCACCCCTGGGCTCCAACCACCTGCAGCTAGCTTAGATTAAGAAGAAAAGGAGTTCGCGGAAAAGGATGGCAAGTTGCCTTCACACCTGCAAGCACAAACTGATCCACCGAACCTGACGGGAAAATCCAAACAAGGATGAGAGTGATGGAGAAATGTAATTCAAGCTGAGCTACTTTTTGCTAATCAGTGTCTGTGAATAAATAAATAAATAAATAAATACTTATTAACTAATACACCATGATCAGCTGAGCAGTAACTATTGAATTGTCAGTTGTGGCTCTTGGCTCAGTCTTGTTCTGTTCAAATGGCTCCATCTAGTGTTGAATCACGAGAACTGCACAATTTGAAACCATTACACACGGCTTCAAATGGCAGGGGGTTCTCAAGACATTTGGACCTGGGGACCCCTTACAAGGTTGAAACAAATTCCAGGGACCCCCTCATAAACCRCATGCTGTTAAAAAAGATAATTTATTGTCAATTCAACCCCTAAATGCCATATGTTTTTATTAAGTTTATGATGTTTGTTTTATTAGGTCATTATTCTCCATGCATTTAAAAAAAATAAAAACCAAATTAACGTTTTAGTAAAAAACTTTAGAGGACCCCCAAGATACCTCTCGCGGACCCCTGGGGGTCCAGGGAGCCCAGTTTGAGAACCTCAGCAGTGTTTTTCAGAATGTGGGCCGCGGCCACCAGGGGGCGTTATGGATGCATCAGAGGGCTGCAGGGAATTTAAGTGAAAAAAGGCAAAAATTTAAAATTAAATCTAATAAATTTCTTGTATCTATTTCATAAAATACAATGTCCACTGTATTGAAATGTTATTTAAGAGGTTTGATTTCTTTTGGTCTGTTATCAAG